CGTTTGTATTTCTTTCTATATGGTGAATTATTGCACGATACCTGGATGTTCAGTCAGAACATATGCGGTGCGACACTAGGATGGTTCACATCACAACACAAACGTCCGCTCGTCTGATTCAGAGATTTCGTCCAGGAGAAATTGCGATCGTTGAAATTCTCTGCAGCAGACTGTGTCCGTCGCGCACTGTGTCTGTGTCCGTCGCGCACATAGAGGTCGCGCACCGCGAGAGCACAGGCACCAGCAGTCCGCCCAGCTCGAGCCAGTCCGGGCTCCTCGTCCGCGTCAGGCGGCCGCCTCCTGCCTCCATCAGCCTCAGCTGCTCTTCACTATATTGCGGCTCGTAAAGATAGCCACGAACAGCGGATTCGAGCAGCAGAATTTCTAAATTCTCTTCTTCCATATCATGTTTAGTTTCTTCCGTCATTGTCGTAACTTCCTATCTCCACAGCGCTTGTTAGCTTAGCTTATAAACAAGATGGCTGATATTGATTTCAGGATCTGCAAGTGAAGTCCCACCCACTGATCTGTGATAGCTCTGTTAGCGCATTAGGTCCAACCCCCTATGGGCGGGTTTGAAAGGGTGGGAATTTGAGCTTGTAGTCTATACAGAAATCCCCCCTTTTTACACTTCCTCCTACAATGACGTCAAATGACGATTTTTGCGTCATTGTAGGAGGAAGTGAAAAAGGTAAATAGTGGATTTCTCTCGTCTCAGGGGAAAATGAAAGAATGTTGCACGACCATTCAATAGTATGACTGGTTGTCTAACAATGGACCTCTTAATGCAAATGGGTGAAGTGTCCCTTTAATGGAAACAAAGCTTTTTGAAAACGCTCTCCAAAGTGGATAAATTTGAAAAGGCCGTTTTCTCGTGTGTAGTGTGGACTGTCAATTCGGAGTTATGTAAAAACGATGATGTAAGTTTAGTCATGTGGCGCATATTGTAACAGTATATTTATACCGGTATTGTGCCTGTTATGTGCTAGTGCTTTTCACTTTCACACTGTTGGTAAAATATGTGACTTGCACACTCTTCATATCACAGTCCTGCAAAGATGACAGAAAATGTACTCACATTTCCTGTCCTGCGGCAATACATGAGAGCAGTTGCGTTTTAGACCAAACATAGGCTATGATGACTGAGTGCGATCTGGATGCATTAGGCAAATGGTGAGATTGGTAAAATTATCCAGTCGGAAGAATTGCGCAATAACTTTATTATTTATTTTTCCGTCTGTATCATCTCAGTAAGCTTTTGTGAGGTTTTTACTCATGCGCAGTAAGGTGAATTTAGTGTTTTCCAAAAGTTTCTCATCTACACTGAAACATCAGAAAACGCCTGAAAACGCTAGTGTGGACGGAGAGCTTTTTAAATGAAAACGCCGTTCTCAAATGTGTCCGGATTAAAGTAACCTTATTATGACGTATGTCACTCTGCAGTGTCTCTATATAAAACATAACACATAATAAATGCTGCTTCACTTTACTGCAATACTGCAATCCTGCAGATTTAAATTTACTTTCTTTTAGTTCTGTCAGGACCACTATCGTCAAATACGATTGACAAATAGCATACTGTTAGGATTGGCGGTATGGTTCTGTTCTGGGCAAGAACTCCCTGCGCATCCAGCCTAGCATGGATACGAGCAGGGAGAGCAGCAATAACCCCCCTTAGGGTAAACAGAACAGAACCAACATGAATGTATTGCAGATATCAATAATTCAAGATTTTAAAGTACAACATAATTCAAGAATTTATTCTGATTCAAGGGGAATCAGAATGCCATACTGACTGGACGAGAGGAGGAGCTGGGGATGGAGGAGGGTAATTGGCTCCTGAGAAACGCGATAGCTGCTGATAATACTGAAGGAGCTTATATACGTGATAGGCGTCGTATTCCTATAGGTAGACGTGGATCAGCTGAGAGTCAGCTGATGCGAGCTTGACTAACGTGACCTGCCAGAACTGACGCTACGCTTAATTTCAGCTAAAGGCAGCAATATACAGTAGTCAACATTTGAAGTGGATCAAAAAAGTTCAAAGTTGTCCTAAGACAAGAACGGGTATTGTTCACAATTCATGTATAACTTTGAATGAAGGTTTTGATCCACAAATGTTAACTACTGTACTTAATCAAAGAACGAACCGGTGTGACGTTTTCAATTAAAATAATTCAGGCCAAAACGACATTCGTTTGGAGTTCTTTCTGTGAGATCGAAACGTTCCTGAAAAGTTGTTCGAGCTGGTAAACACCTTTGAACTACCATTGGTCTGTGGTGATTTTTGTAATAGGTAGGTGTGGTTCTGAGGCTCCGCCTTCTTTGACGTGGAAATCTTCTCCGGTTCATTTCTTCAGTTCAGTCTGCCGAGGTTAGATGCGAGTAAAAACATGAACACACCGGAGAGCTGCTTTTTTAATTTAATAGAAATTGAAGTTCTATTGAAATTCTTATTGATAGACACATGGACACTGTTTTTTTCATGTTTGATAGTGTAAAGCTGCTTATTATAAAGCAATCTATTTTATAAAGTTCTATATAAATCAACGTGACGTGACTTAACTGGAGAACAGTGCTGAGCTCATGCAAACATATCCACATCACCATGATCAGATGCTTTCTTTACGGCTGTTTTCACCGCTGTCATTTTTGTTGTCTGTGAACCGAGTTTACCACTTAAACTTTGAAATGCCTCAAATTTGCATGAGCTTGTATTTTTTTTTGTCTCCCACATTCGCATGCGTATGAGTAGAAGTCAAGGGAAAGATATCATCCATGATTCCATGTTCCGCAGTGGAAAATCCCATTGACTTTCTCCAGTGCTGCTCGCCTCGCACATCCACAAAGACACAAAAAGAGGGCCCTTCGGTTAGGCTGCTGTTGGGATGACTTCCAGCTCACTGAGTTGTATGACATGCATTGAATGGGGCATTATAAAGTATTCAGGAGATCTGCTCCAACGATAAGGCCCTATGCATTTGACTGACATTATCAACCCCACGTCCCACACTCCTTTGACCTGCGGTATGGGGCGGCTATATCTTTTTTCATTCTTGTTGTTCCTTCATCCTTTATGTAACACTGCACCTATGTCATGCTATTGACTCTGCCCAGCTTTCTCATTTCGAAGTCGGTCCAAGTTGGCTTGTTCAGGTAGCTAATCTTCTCTTGCCAGGTAGTTGCTTGGTGCCAATTGGGATTTCACTCTACAATGATTGGCAGGCGACGGCTGTAATGCAGAAGTGCTCGGGTATCACACCCGACTGGCTCTCAGGCTTATAACTCACCATGGTCACAGCTGTCAGCCCAAAATGAAAGGCAACCAACTGAATCCACGATGCTAGATCACATGCTAATTAGCCCAAATGGTTTCTGCGTTGGAATCCCCCTGCAAGATCTTCATCAAAGAGCTGTTCTTCTGCTGCTCTACATGCCTGGTGATCAAAAGGCTTTGGATGTATATTATTTTTGTTGGTTTAATGTCGCCATATGGTTTTGAAAATGCTCTAAGCCGCAATTGAAAGTCCTTAAAGGGTTCAAGTCATACATTTTTGATCAGTTTTTGTTTTTCAGTTTTTGATTTGATTTGATTTATTAGAAAAAAAAAATGCATACAAGATGCCATCACAGTGACATTATACATTTATCAGAACTGTCGAGGATAACACAAGAAAGTTGCAAACTTATTTCCATTGTGGTCCTCGCTGTAGTCTGAGTTGAGGCCCATTAATAATGTTAGTCAAGGTTTTCATGCCCTAAAATCATTGGTAATGTAATATTACATTACCGTTTTCACCCTCTCGCTGACCAAAGTAAACTTTGTCTTGCATGTATAATGAGGTACAACGTTTTCTGTCGGATTCAGTAAGGTTTGTAGAAAACCGTTCTAGAAAATAACAGCCTCTTTGCAAAGGTTTGATTGTGACACATTGTGACACAAAACAAAACACATTTTGATGCACTCTTAATGGCATAATTTTGTCATCATTTACTTGCCCCTCTACACCCCCCATTTTTGATTGGCCATTGGGCTAGTTTTGTTCCGCGGACCTGGCAACCCTGATTGGGCCCCATTGACTTTCATTGTATGGACTGCACAGTTATTCTTTAAAATATCTTCTTTCATGTTCCACAAAATGATTGGAAGAACATATGGTGAGTAAATGATGACAGAATTTATATGTTTGGACAAAATCGATAACTAGAATTTTTAATGGCAAATGCAAGAAACCGCACAATGTTTGGCAAATGAATATGTTAATTATCATTAGTTAAATACTGAGTTAAAAAAGTTATACTACTTCTGGTGTTTATGAATAATATTAGGCTGTATATCCAGTTGCCTCCTTATTACAGTACTTCACTATGAAGAACTGACCCACGTGTATGAACAGACATTTTTCACATACATTTTGACTGTCAAAAGTTCAAGGAAAATTACATATTTATTAAACTCCTAAAACAACACAAACAACATGAAACCTCTAAATCCGTTCAGAAAAATTACGGCAGCTCTCGACTCAGCAGAGCTACACAAATTAAAAGCTCTTTTCTGCAACAACAGGAAATCTTCAAAAATGCAGCTGGCAGAAGCAAAAAACAACCCCCCCCCCCCACACACACACACACACACATACACACCCCTTGACGTGAAACACTTGCACAAATAAGAGAGGAGTTCCCTGATGGGTACACCTGCAAAAGTGCCACCCATTTTACACCATCAGGAACCTTTGCAGATGGCTCTTCAGTAACATGATGACCACCATTCCCAGTAACTGAGTCCAAAATGCTGGATTCACCATGTTTGACCATAAGCCAAAAATCTATGAAGGATGTTGTGGTTGTGTTGAGCTGCTGTAGTGCAGTGACGGTTGCTGACAACAGGAAAAGAGAAATATTACATCGGTGGAGTGCAGTGGTATATGCACCATTTAAGGTATATGCACCATAAATGAGGCTAATCAATTTATCTCGTTTTCCTTTGTTTTGTCCAGTTTCCTGAATGTGGCTTTTATGGGATTTATGACAAGATCCTCCTCTTCAAGCACGACACCAGCAGCAATAACATCCTGCAGCTGGTCAAGGCAGTGTCGGATATCCAGGAGGGGGACCTGGTGGAGGTTGTTCTGTCCGGTGGGTCATAGAGTTAACCAGTAGCTCAAAAGGCCTTCAAATTTGCTGCAACAAAGCTAGTAGAAGTCATTCATTATCAAGATTTGATGATTTCTGGGACATGAGCAACTGTTGACCTTTTTTAATTTCCCCCTAATGTAATTTGACTGAATCTGATTCCCATTATCATACTTATTTTAATTGAATGATTTTTTTCCCAATGATTGACCAATTCTGATGATAATAATAATGTGTCTACAGTAATACAAATATAAAGAGAATATAAAATAGTACTAAAATTACTAAAACTTAAATATAATTTAAAGCTAAATAAAAATATAAAAAATTAAAATGAAAACTGAAATATACAAATCAAGGCTAATTTAAAATATCAATAAATGCTATAATACGACATAAATAATACAACAACAAAAAAAACAGTATATTAATGAGAATTAATAACTCAAAAGTAAAATATAAAAAAACTCCTTTTCTTTATGCCAAATACTGCATGTTTTATAATTTGACCCCAGTCACACAAAATGTGTTTTTATTGTAAGATTTACCCATACAGAGCAACACATAGGGATGTTATTATGCTGTGACAAATGGAAACTGATTTTCAAGGAAGCACCAAAACATGAATCCACAGGCTCTGTATTCTTGTTTAGATTGTGTTTGTGAGTCCTTTTAATATCAAAGCACCTTTCAAAGACACAGTAGTGAACAGATATAAATGACAAATTTGGCACATTTTTTTTATAATGTTAAAATGGCTGTAAAGTCAATAGTCAAAATCAGAACGATAGCTTTTGTCACTGCATTGAAGGAATAGATCTGACCTGACTAGATCATATCAAAGTCCCATTCGGCCAATTTTGATTGTTTATCTGGTAGAGAAACTCATACAAGCTCCAGTTATTTGTGAGCCTGATGTCCGAGAGCCAAAGTGGATGATCAATTGTAATCAGCATTGAAGTGTTTTGAGAGGATGTTGAAATAATAGATTTGATAGAGCTGTACCAACTCGCATGGATTCAGACCAGGGCTGGATTTACCTCATGTCGTGACATAGGCAAAAGAAAATCCACATTGTGCTTAAACAAGGTTTGAATGATATTTGAGCTATTTTCATTGATGTCTCCTGATCTAATTTTTTTTTATTTTGTTGCTTATTCCGCAGCTGCTGCCACATTTGAGGACTTCCAGATTCGGCCTCACGCATTAAACGTGCACTCGTATCGTGCACCGGCATTCTGCGATCACTGCGGCGAGATGCTTTTCGGCCTGGTGCGCCAAGGACTCAAATGCGATGGTGGGGACTGGTCATACTTGTGACTCATTCAAACAAAGCTAAATTTGTGAGCTGTCATGTGATTTTATCTAGCCTATTTCCCATGACCTAACTTGCTCACTTTTAAATCCATCAAATATGGACATGAGCATGACATAAGTGTCCATTTTTTTGCCCTTTCACTGTCTCCCCCTGCAGGCTGTGGATTGAATTACCACAAACGCTGTGCCTTTAGCATTCCCAATAACTGCAGCGGGGCGAGGAAGCGGCGCCTGTCCACCACGTCCCTCACCAGCAGTCAGTCCCTGCGTCTGTCCACCTCAGAGTCCCTCAGCAGCATCAACAGCAGCGTGACGTCTGAGGATACCAGCCTCATACGATCCCACACCCAGATGGTACAGGACACACGAACACTCGGTTTCATGTTTCCACAAAATTAAAATCAAGAAACATACTGTTCGTTTTTCAATAAAAACAGCAGTTGTTGAGGGCACAAATTTAAAAAAAATTAAGCATGAAATGAAGCTTTGGATGAAGCATCTGCTAAATGAATACATTTAAAAAGTGCACATCTTGATTTCAAGTGTTTTTTTTAAAATAAAAATGTAGCACTGTACTTCAGAATTGTAAAATTTTCAGATAATAGTTATATGTACAGTACATATATATATATATATATATATATATATATATATATATATAGTAAAAGGTATATAGTATAGTACTAGTCATGGTGAGTACTGGAACATATTGAGTCATCAGCCACCCAAATACCACATACAGTTATTTTATTATTTAACCTACCTCCCAAAAAATATATGTTTTTTTTTTAATTATTATTATTATTATTATTTTTTTATTATTATTATTTTTGTATCGCAAGTTAACAAAAACATTGTAGTTTATACAAGATAACAGATCATTGAATTATATACACATACAAAAGAAGGAAAGACGTACATGGAGCACACACAATGTAAACAAAACAAAAACAAACAAAAAAACAGCTAAATATAAATATATCGATCTAGTGATGTATGCAGGTACATTGGTAATTTTAAGCAATGGGATATTTTAGAGATTTAGATAGAAGCAATATTGAGATATTCATAGTAATTGTAATAGAATTGTAGTAGATGTAGAGGCAGTGTTCATACTAATAATAATAATTATAAAAAAGATAAAAAATAGTGGCGGTAGTACTTGGCAACAAACAGCATTCATGAAAATAAAAGTAGGAGTGGTAGTAGTGGTAGCACTGTATTTTTAATAATAATAATAGTAACTATAATAATACTTTTAGATCAGTAAATACAATTATTGTGAATATACACTATTCTCTGGGCCTGGGAGCCATTCTACCATTGCCGGTGAGCACAACCAACAGACCTCCCCGACATAGACCCCTCACCGTCAACGACACCCAGCCCCAACAGTTACACCTCTGTTTCGCTGAGTCTTCCTCCGCAGAGTAAGATGGGGCACCATAACAGGCACCTCCAGACCAAGCTCACCTAGTCTGGTTGTGACCTGACAGGACATAAGTCAAGTTTGGTTGCCCCTTTGTTTTTGTTTTTTTCTGTTCTTTTTTTTCCTCTTTCCCCCTTTTTCCTCCTTTTCTTTGGTAATCTGTGGCTTAGACCCTGGTGTACACTGGTTAGCTCCCTAGCCAGAGACACCACATCCAGCCCAAATATCCGTCCACCATATTTTTTTTACTTGACGGAAGGGATTGGGGGCATGGACGTGTTACTAATGACCGTGTTGAGAAGATGTGCCAGTCGCATCCACCGACAGCACCTAGAACATCGCCTGACCCAGGTCATTTATATTTACCATGAAGATTTTATAATATCAATACTACTATCCCTACTACCACCATCTCAAAAAAAAAAAAAAAAAAAAAAGCATTAATATGCGGTTTTTACATGAAAAATTACGAGTATAATCGTATAATCGTTACGAGTATGTTTTTATTACTCAAGTGTTACTACATACTTCTAAAGAAATTTTCTAAAAGTAGACTATTTAAAAGTTCACCCAAAATCTCAAACGCTTGAAATGACTTTTGTGTTTGGTTGCACAAATCATGACTTGATCATGTAGTAACACTTGAGTCATTACTAGTTAGTTCCCATGATCTTCACTTTAGAATACGGATCCAAATAATTAGTAATTCCCATAGAAGTATGAAGTACCACTTGAGTCATTACTAGTTTGTGACCATGATTCTTACAGTAGTTACTTATGAAAAGCCAATAAAGTGTAGAATCTTCTAATCACTCACAAGATATGCACACACACACACACACACATATATATGAGCTAGGAGACATACATAAAAACATAATTTTTTGGGAGGTAGGTTAAATAATAAATAACTGTATATGGTATTTGGGTGGCTGATAACTCAATATGTTCCAGTACTCACCATGACTCTAGTAGTGATTCAATGCCAGTCCAGAAGAATGCCGGAAAATTGGCCACAGGACAAGTAAGGTCCCGACAACTGCATTTAAAAATCCATTTCTTTAAAATTATTCAGTTGTTAAATACACAGTATAGGCCAATTATTAACAGCTTTCCCAAATCATAAGTCTGCTATGCTATTACATATTGATAATGTAAACAACCTTGTGTATTCGTTTACAGTAGCAGTTAAAATGTTAATGTAGTGCTAGTAATTTGTCCTGCATTAGTTATTGATAAGTTTTGCATGAATTATGAACATTTTCAGTAGTTCTCTGGGAAGCATTAAAAAAAATAGTAGTTATTGATTAGTTAATAGTGAAGTACCACTTTCTTCTGTGCGCTATTACTTACTAATTTGTTAATCAGAGTTTCTTGTTAGTTAATAGTAGTTACTAGATTGTTAATATTGTGTTACTCATTGGTTCTTGTGTAGTTATTCATTAACGAAGGAACCATATTCTAAAGTGTTACCATATAATGTTGGTCTCTCTCCAGCCCCGCACCCCCAGTGAGGCCAGACGCTTTTACACCGGGCGGCCCGTCCACCTGGACAAGATCCTCATGACTAAAGTGAAGGTCCCGCACACATTTGCCGTTCACTCATACACGCGCCCCACTGTGTGTCAGTACTGCAAGAAACTGCTGAGAGGACTCTTCCGCCAGGGACTCCAGTGCAAAGGTTTGACAGTCACGCTCAATACATCACCCGAAAAAACCCCCCAAAAAAACATTGCCCTGACTTTACAAATTGGTAATACAGAACAGTTAGGAATGCCATCTGTTTATGATCTATTATTGAATTCCTCATTTTCCTGCATATTGACCCATGCTGATGTTGTACCAATGAGGTGATCAGATTGATTTTGCTGTAACGATCGGCTGACTGTACATTATACTCCTTATTAAGTTACAGTAATTAATTACTTAGGAGTCCCTAACACTGCACATAGACAACAGTTATTTGTAAATTGTAATACCATTTCACAATATTACTGTTTTTTTTTACTGTTTTTTAATCAAATAAATGCAGTTTGGTGAGCAGAAGTTTGACTTCTTTCAAAAACAAATTTTTAATTTGTAGTGTAGTTTGTAATATAGAAACTCAGTCTAGAGAGACGAACATTACACAGAAATATTTGACTGCCCACAATTAGTAAATCCAAAGAAGTTAATTTAAAAGTAGCATATTATGTAGTAAGTTAATTGAAAAACTGCATTGCTAATATTTATATTTGATTTAGCTAATAACACTTGTTTTATTTCTTTTAGACTGCAAGTTCAACTGCCACAAGCGATGTGCATACAAGGTCCCAAATGACTGTTTGGGAGAGACTCTTGGTAATGAGTGTGAGAGAAACATTGTTGACATGATGGACATTAACACATTTGGATTATTTGAACTGTGTGTTGCTTCTGTGAACATGTTATTATTGTTTGTCACTTCATTGTGCTTGTATGTGACTTTTTTTTACCTCTTTCCTCTCTGTCTTTCTCTCAGACATATTAAGTCCAAGCACAGACACGGAGGTGCCGATGGACTACAGTAATGAGTTTTCTGAAACTGATAAGTCTTCTATGATGGACGACTCAGACGAGGCCTGTAGTATCCCCGGGTCTTTCTCCCCAGACAGCGGCCAGGATGGAGCCAGTGGAGACCAGAGGTAGTTAGACAGGTTTTAGACACACAGATAAAAATACAACTTTAAGGTCTGTTCATAATAAACAAAGCAGAGTGTCTATTTACACCAAGTACAAATATCTCACCTTGTTGGCAGAGGCTATTTGCACTAACTACACCCACCAATGTCGGGTTGAGCCAGACAAAATTAAAAAAGAAACCAATCTGATAACAGGAGCAGTAGCATGGAGAGAAAGTGGCCGCTCACATCGCGTCTAAAAACAACGGCCGCACCGCTTTCTCCTTCTTTCCAAAGCGCTCGGGAGCTTGCGCTCCCCATGACGATGAGGAAGTTTCAGCAATGTATAAAAGTAGCTCTGCTACAAAAAAATTTTCTGTAGAAGAGAAATAAAACAGCTGTTCCTCCATCTTGGAGCAAATCTCCATTTAAAATAACAAACTTTAAAGACAAGGCATGTGAACAGCCCCTTAGGCGGCTGGCATTAGCTTGACCTACCCAAGTTCAAATTGTCTTTTTCCTAACTCATTCTTCTCCCTTTTCCAATCGCCTATCAGCTCGGAAGAGTTAATTTTAAATAAAAATCAAGAAAATAAATTGGCTAATGGGCGTTTAATAGTGGAAATAACGTTTTTAACGGTTATTTAAATCTTTCCACGCCGTATGTGGGATTTTCTGTCATTTATGAGACGACGCTTCCCCGCCATTGACAGAATTTTCGGGCTTTCCGTATTTTCAGTGTTATATGGTAGGGGGCGTTATTGTGCATTTTATGAAAGAGAGCAGAATCTCTGGATCAAAACAAAGACAAAAAACGAGCAGAAACTAGATAAAACCATTGCTTATGCATGTTATAGTCTTTGAAAAAAATGCGCTTTTCTCAGCTTTTTGTTCAAAATGTTGCATTTTTTATGAAACGTACCCACATTCAAGTATTGATTAAAAGGAATGCATGCATGAAGCTAGAATAAAAGGTACCTTGTTGTTTAAAAGTTTTATATATTTATATATATATATATATATATATATATATATTGCATGTTCAGATATGCATACAACTAAATATTCTGGGGGCCATTACATTTTTGTGAAAATTATCAAAAAAAAGCTGGCGGGTAACTTAAAAGAAAAGAAATGCTGATGGGGAAAGTTAATAGGCCAGACCTTTAATTGAAATTGGACTATAAATAGGGCTTATGCAAATCTTACACACCAAAAATGTGTAATCATGAAAAGGTCCATTTAAAATGAGATAAAGCATATCGATGGAGCCCTTCGCTTCGAGTGTGAAAATTCGATTATTTTTTTGTCTCATAGTGTAGGTCAATTTTTATATTTCCCTCTGAGAAAAAAAAAAAGATGACCAATAAGATATAAGCTTTTTGCAAACTATTCACTGGCAATTCATGCTGCTTTGTTGTGTCTCTCTTTATTCAGCATACAATTGCCTGCGTACCTCTACTGTATGCCTGTCACACACACCTCATGAATGTATGTCCTGACTGTCTGCTGTCATGTCTCTCTCCAGTGCTAATATTCCTCTGATGAGAGTAGTGCAGTCCATCAGGCAGACCACACGTCGCTCCAGCACGGCCATCAAGGAAGGCTGGATGGTGCAATACAGCAACAAGGACACACTGGTACTTCCTCTCACTGCTAGCTAACCTGAAAGGGACAGTTGACCCCAAAATTTATATTATTCACTCTCATGTCGTTCCAAATCCGTATGGCTTTTTTCTTTCTTTCTGTGGAACCCAATTGGTGATCTTTTGAAGAACATCTTATCTTTATTTAACAATAGATCTGTGCCACTTCAATATAAAATGCAGATCTCAACTATCGATGTATTAATTCAAAATGAAAACTGTAAATAAATAAATCACTTCTCAAATTTACACATAAATTATGAATTTAATACTTAAATATTTATTTAATTGTCTAATATGATTTTCAGTGCATCGATTCATTTTAAATGTATTTATACATTTATCTTTTGCTTTTCTTTATTCGTTTGCCAAATGCATTTGTCTAAAGCTTTTTTTAAATGCAATTTTAATGTTGCCTTTAAAATCAGGCGTTAATGTGTTATTTATTTTTATTACATTTAACTGATATTTTAAAGATGAACTACATTAACAGTTTTAAATCTATGTATTTATTTGTCAGTTTGAAAAGTCATCTATCTGTCTAGTTTTTTTACATTTTAAATTAATAATGGATAATTTCATTACTTCAAATGATACTCGTAGTCTAGAGAGATCTGTTGTTGAGTCTTGCAGATGAAGTTATCAACCTTGGCAATGAGCTAATTCAATGCTTGTGTAATAATGCATATAATTATTTATTTATTGAAATATTTATTTATTGATTTAACTTTAAACAGTTTGGCACTAGTTGTGGTAGTCTTTAAAATGAAACCCCCAGTCCATATCACTTTAATCATTTGAACAATAGTGACAAGGATATTCTTCAAAAAAATGTGCACTACAGGTTTGGAACGATAAAGGATGAGTAAATGAAGAAATTTTTGCGTGGAGTGTTCTAGAGTTTTCTCTCTAGTCTTTACACTGTCCTTACCTCACTACCAAACATCGCTATTGATAGTTCTTTCTGCATTCTGCACTATAATATCAGCAAATCTTCAGCTTTTTAATCACTGCCTATTCTTGGTGTCCCCTGCTGGATTACTATTGGAGTCGGTATTGATTTGTAAGAATGAATAGCCGTAAATGTCATTCATAGTGTGTTTGGTGCTTCTAGGCGAGTATTTCCACAAAGAATGGATGTTCTCTTTCTAAAATTGGCTAGACATTGATATATTGACCTGTTCTTGGCCTCCTGTGTAGCATTTTACTCCTCTAGCCTTTTCTTTCTAACTTTCCTCTTGATGTTTCTCTTGCGTCCTCCTTTTCTCTTCAGCTCTGTTTACCCTTCGCTTTCTTCCTCCTGTCTGCTGGGGTGAAGCTGACCCCCAGCACCAACTCCTTGTTGACCTATGACCTTTGACTTCTCACTCCACCCTCCAACAGAGGAAGAGACACTACTGGCGCCTGGACTGCAAATGCATCATCTTATTTCAAAACGACACCACCAACAAGTACTACAAGGTAGAATCTCTATTTATGGTTTAATGACTGTTTATAAACACTGTGAGCTAAATTGCACATGAAGAGGGAGTTAATGCGTATGTGGAAATGCCACATTACATTATGCATTCACAATGACAGATGAAGCATGAATATTCTTGGTTCATGAAATAATTCACTATGAATGGTTTTCACAAGCTATTTGGTCATCGAGGTGACTACACATGTAGAATTACTTGGTTTGATGTATCATTTCAGTTAATTATTGTAGATCCTGTTGTGAAATTAACCTCTGTGCACTTTGTCTGAATGATTGAGTGTCTAATTTGCCTCTTTTGTCTGCCTCTGCAGGAGATCCCGCTCTCAGAGATCCTGGAGGTACGCCCAGCGCGCGATTTCTCTCTCGTACCTGCCGGCACCAGCCCCCATTGCTTTGAGATTATGACAGGTACCATGATCTACTTCGTTGGCGAGGACCCCAACACCACCCCGTCCCCGTCATCCAGCGTGTATGGCCTGCCCATCTCCTTCACCCCCTGCAGCGTTGCGCCCAATAGCGGGGTGGGACGAGAGTTTGCCAAAGGCTGGGAGACTGCTATACGTCAAGCCCTTATGCCAGTCATCTTCCAAGACAACCCTCCAGCAGAAGGTCACACCCCTCACCGTGAGTGAAAAGTGTGATAGTACATACATAATCCTGAATCCCGTGCACATTAGGGGGAATGTCAGTGTATGACACCTTAACAAAAAAATTGGTTATGTGGAGGATTTAGATATAGTTCAGTAGTATGATGCTAATTTTTTATTTGGACTATTTAGAAATACATGAAAAATGTTGTTCATACAACAAAACTGCATTATTTGAAATTATCAATGATAATTATTGTAGAGCTTAGTCAAAAATGTCTTGATGGTTTAACTGAACATGTGCCATTACAAGGATGAAATTCTCGAAAAAAATAATTTTGCATAATAGTATGGCTAAATTTTATTTTTTTAAAAGAGTAATGAAACAATTAAAAAAAAAAATATATATATATATTGAACTTTTTTTTTTTAGATCGGGAAAGGTCTATATGACCAACAGCATTATATGTCGACTCGCTGCCCACGAGGCTATTGCCGCCAACATATATATATATCTTATTTGAAAATGCATAGTTAGTTCATGTCAAATAAATGATCCTAAGAAAAATCATTGTAAAAAGTCTGATATTTGTTTAAAAAAAGAAAAAAAAGTCTCTTTTAAAAATTTTTTTTTTTTTTTTTACTTGACATTTTTAAAATTTCAATTCAATTAAGTCATAAAAAATAATATAAACATTTTTCAAAAACGTTTCATACCAACATGAAGATTACATTTCTAAGAACTTGGCATATACATTTTTATTTATTAAATTTATCATCCTAGAAACGTCATTGTCCTTTATACAAGTATAATACTGAGATTATAAAGCAAGGCTAATTTGTTTAATCTTTTTGATTTTCAGGGCAGGCATCAGTCAGCATCTCTGTGTCTAACAGCCAGATTCAGGAGAACGTGGTGAGTGAGAGAACGTGGTGATGACAAAGATGATTATGATAATGATAACTATTAAGATAATAATGGTGATAATGTACCCAACAGGACATTGGTATGGTGTACCAGATCTTTGCTGATGAGGTTTTAGGTTCTGGACAATTTGGCGTGGTATATGGAGGTATGTCCATGACTGCAAACTAGACTTTTTCATTTGGATGTTGCTGTGCAGGTACTAAGGTATAATTGGTGGTTGCCAGGGTGTTCAGGAAGGTTTTTTCCCCCCCTACTTTCCAAAAGAGCAAACCCTCAAAACTTTATGATATTCCAGACAGAAATCAAAGTCCAATTTAAAAATACTTCAAATCCCTCGTCCTAAGTATTAGCACTAGCAAGCATCACTGATGATTTGCAAGAATGGATATTTACAAAAGACAATACATATACAAATGATCATTATCATTTTCCCAACCCACACAGGAAAACACAGGAAATCTGGTCGGGATGTAGCCGTGAAGGTAATCGACAAGCTTCGGTTCCCCACCAAGCAGGAGAGCCAACTGAGGAATGAAGTAGCCATACTGCAGGTGACCAGCAGGGGGCGATAGAGAATCAATGATCTCGTCACTCATGGAACTGTGCGGCTAATGAGTCAGAGTGCCATTGTATTGACCTGAATGATAACAAACATGCTGTGTGGCCTCTGATTGTGAGGACACCTAACATGAGGTCATGAATGGAAATAAGCGACAACAATGTGAGTCACTTAAACTCATCTCTTTATCTTGTCCTTTCTTTCTCTTTCAGAGCCTGCGACACTTGGGTATAGTGAATCTCGAGTGCATGTTTGAGACACCAGAGAAGGTGTTTGTGGTAATGGAAAAACTTCATGGTGACATGCTTGAGATGATTTTATCGAGTGAGAAAGGACGACTTCCTGAGAGACTCACCAAGTTCCTAATCACGCAGGTCAGCATATAACATCAGAGCTGCCAACTTTTGAGTTTAGCTTGGCGTGAGACTTCTCCAACGGGGTGGAACGGGGTGGGACGGAGTGGGGGGGGTTTGTTGCAAAAGACACGCAAGCTCTTTTGCTCGCTTACCTCTCTGCCGTCGTGCGCGTGCGTGGTTAGGAGCTCAACACATCTGTCTCGCATGTACGCTCGCTCTAGATTACAGGATATTTTAACTAGTTTACGGTAAAACTAGTCGATCACGAATGGCTCAACTGGTAGATCTATAGATAAACTTATCTTTCAGGCATTTGACCGACCGGGTTGACACTTCAGCGTGAGAAATCGGGGGTGTGGCGTGAGAACTGGCTCAATTGCGTGAGTCTCACACTGAATGCGTGAGAGTTGGCAGCCCTGTATAACATGCTTCTAAGGGCCTTTCACTCCAAGGATGTTAACTACAGTATAACTATAAAGTTTTAATAATCATTCTAAAGGCCAAAAACAATAAATATAAAGATAACTTTAACGATAACTAAATCAGCGTCTGAACACACAATATCATTCTGTTTATCCTAAGCACGTGCTGCAGTTTTGTCGTCTGCCGCTTTAAATGCTTGAGCTCTTTAAAGCAGGAGGGATTCTGATTGGCTGTTAATGTTTTTATTGTTCATCAGCTGGAAGAAATCGCTCTGAAAGTGGTTCCAATGATATTGTTTCTTTGTGTCGTTATTATTATAGTTGTAGCATGGACTCTGCTATTCTCACAGCAATAAGGCTTGTTCACACCAAATATGATCACTATAACTATAAAAATATAACTATAAATATTAAAGGCAGCGTAGGTGATTTGTTCTAGAAAAGGTTTTTGTAAGACAGGTTGAAAGTCTCTTCACATCCTGATACCTAGGTGGTCTATATATATATATATATCTTCTGTGGAAGGTGTAGGACCATAAAATGTTCGTCCAAAGATAATGAAATGATAAGATTTCCTACCTGCCTGTCAACTTATGTATTTTCATAAAACCATGCACCCTGCTCACGCAGACATCACACATCCTCAGCGCGTTTCATGCTGTACAGCAGGGGTCCCCAACCCCCGGGCCGCGGACCGGTACCGGTCCGTGGGTCATTTGGTACCGGGCCGCACAGAAAGAATAAATAACTTGCATTATTTCCGTTTTATTTATTCACACATTTACCTGTTCACATATCGCGTCTTTTGCGCGCTCAAGTTCGTTATTTCAAATGTAGGCGCGCGGTATGCGCGCTCATAATGGAAGCGATGCGCTCGTTTTTTCCAAGCGAGTCCGCGCCGCATTCGAGATAAAAACATATCTCAACTTTTCAGAATGCTGCAAGCGCACCGTAGGTCACGTGACAAGAACCAACCAATCATCTTCAACACTGAAAACTGCTGCACGAGTAGTTACTTGTAAAAAATACTTTTACTAAAAATGTTAATGCTCACAACTGATTCCTTGTTAAATCCATCATTGTTTATACAGAATTGTTCTATATTCTATATATAAATGTGTATGTGTTTGCTATTTCTGGCGTTTTATGACCACTTCAGTTATAGTCTAACCTCAGACAAATGCAGAGCCGTTCCGCAGGAGAGATAGTTTCACGGCAGAAGCTCTGTTTACTGATGCTTGGGACAACTTTTCTTAAAAGATAATCAAACTGGTCATTGTCCACTCTGAAATAGGCTTTGAACCTCCCATTGTCCAGACGGAGCCCCTGAATCAGCTGGTGAAATTCCCCATGGTTTTTGTAGTATCGGTTGCACGGTCTTGCACCCAAACACTGCAGCGTTTTTTTTGTTTTGTACTCTTCTTAGTAAATAAATCTTGTAACAGAGTTACAGCAAGGGTTTTTCGGTGATGGAAATCCATTGCTGAAATTCCCTTGCTGTAACGAAGAGCGCAGCTGATGGTTGCTTAGCAATGACAGACGCCTCCGGAGCGCAACCTCACGCTTAGCATTTTCTACGCGTTTTTAGGCGCTATATGTGAATGGCGCCTTATAGGGGGCAGAGAGGATGTTACTCATGTTATGTTGTTGGCGCGATGTTACGAGGACGCTGCTAATAAAGTTGCGAGTAGGCCTACACATTGGATTCACGTTTATTATTATATTTAAAAAAAATACCCCAGTTTTTATGCCGGTCGTTTCATTTTATTTTGTTGTATTTATCTGCCACACCTTAAAGGCCGGTCCGTGAAAATATTGTCTGATATTAAACCGGTCCGTGTCGCAAAAAAGGTTGGGGACCGCTGCTGTACAGAGTTAGACAGATGTCAGTCACCAAGTGCCGCAACCGAAACAGCAGCCACCTTTTACAGTTCCTCCTGAACCAAAACAAAGCTTATGCTGCGTTCACGCCATAACTACTGTCATTTGGAAGAGATGGAAACCTGTGATGTTCGAATTTATGCTCGAATGATCGGTTTAATTTTAATGAGAATAACACCACAGCTATGATAACACAGAGGAACTGTAAATTTGGAATCACTTTCAGAACATTTTTTTTCCCCCCAGCTGATGAACAATAAAACATTAGACTTTAAATAGCTGAAGCATTTAAAGCGGCAGGTGGCAAAGCTGCAGTGCATGCTTATATAGTTATCGTTCTTGGTTATGATGAGTTTTTTTGTTTTGCACCAATATCTTCTCTCTAGATTTTGGCTGCTCTGAGGCACCTTCACTTCAAAAACATAGTGCACTGCGACCTCAAACCTGAGAACGTGCTATTGGCATCAGCGGATCCTTTCCCACAGGTCAGAGAATTCACCAAGTGCATTTTTAACATTATTGATGCATGGGAAACAAACTAAAGCACTTTTTTTCTCCGTTGCATAACGCAAAGGTTTCATTTCTCAAAATGTTTAACCTTTTGTTGGCTCTTGTGACATAACACTTCTTCCCACCCTTGCTGCATATACATAGGTGAAACTTTGTGACTTTGGTTTTGCTCGCATCATTGGAGAGAAGTCTTTCCGCCGTTCTGTCGTGGGCACACCGGCTTACTTGGCCCCTGAGGTCCTCCTGAACCAGGGATACAATCGCTCTCTGGACATGTGGTCTGTTGGTGTGATCATGTATGTTAGCCTGAGTGGAACGTTCCCTTTCAACGAGGATGAAGACATCAATGATCAGATCCACAATGCCGCCTTCATGTACCCGCCTAACCCGTGGAAACAGATCTCTCCTGAAGGTACACTTACAGTATTAAAACCAAATAAATACAAGCTCCTCATTTGTTATACAATAAAATGTCAGCTCAAAAAGAATAAAAGTATTTGAAAAGTTAATAGAGCTGAATAGAGCATTTTGCGCGGCTATTCCAGGAAATGTTCTTCATAATAACAAAAAGAAATTCGATGCATTAAAAGCAGGCTGATGGTTGAGTCGCTCCGTCCGCCTTTGATTTTCTGTCCGCTGCTGTAAATCATTTAGCTCCAATCAATGCAGATTTTGCTTGTGTGATCTCTGTTTGTCCATAGCTATCGACCTCATCAATAACCTGCTCCAAGTGAAGATGAGAAAACGCTACAGTGTGGACAAGAGTCTGAGCCATTCATATCTGCAGGTAATGCCTATATCAGACCCACATCCATGCTATTAATGGCTCTTTCCAAGAAAATGGTGCCAAATATAGTCTTTTGTGTGTAATTCTTTGTGCTCTTAAAAAAGAAATGATATATCAAGAGATCAAATTAACTTTTACATGTGCTGTTATGTTTTATACTTGTTTTATATGAGGTTTGGACATTTTTCAGCCTAGTTGCTAAAATGTAAGATGTGTCTTAATACAGTTTAAAAAACTAGTTTCATTCTTTTCTGGCTATAAACACAAACAAGAAAAACATCTGATTACATTTTAATGGAATCCTTCAGTTTAAAGTTACTGATAAAAAAAGAAGAAGAGTAACAGGTTTGAAGGTAACAGGGATAACAAGGATTAAGGCATCACTCTATCTACTCTTGTAGCAAAAATGAGACCAAATGTTGGTTTTCAGTTGTCAAATTGATATTAATTAAATAAATATTTCCCATAAATTACAGAACTATTACCATTTTTGCTATGGGCAATGGTCATTTTTCAGAAATACATCATTGTAGTGACCGATCAAGATCAAGTATTCCAGAGAGCCATGTGAAATATTATTATATGATAAGGTAACAGGGATAACAAGGATTAAGGCATCACTCTATCTACTCTTGTAGCAAATATGAGACCAAATGTGCTATATTATATTGTATTATATTACTGTAATTACTGGAGAAAAAAAAACTAAATTAAATATATATGATTCAAGGATAAGGAGACAAGGAGAAGGCTATTATATTCACACAAATAATTGAAAATAGGTTCGTAATTATGTTAAAGGCAGTAGAAAAGACAAATGTGAAAAACAACCCCTGAGATGACAAAATTTAAGTATGGATTTGCTGTAAAAGAGAGTTTTATGTATGGAAGAGCAAATTACATTATAGACAAATAAGCCCCCTAAGTAAAGCACTTTTAGACACCGCAAAACAAAATGGATCATCATTAGCAGTGGCGTCCTTCTGTCTACAATGATTTGCTCTCTCTCTCTCTTTCTCTCTCAACCTCCCACCGCCCCTGTCCACTCTTCCAGGATTACCAGGCCTGGTTGGACCTCCGAGAGCTGGAGTCAAAGCTTGGGGAGCGTTACATAACCCACGAGAGCGATGACAGCCGCTGGCAGCAGTACGCCCATAATCACACGCTGCCCTACCCCCCTCACCTGGTGCCCCCGCCACCCGCGTCCGACGACGACGAGGAGGGCGCCGAGGACGCTGATATGCAGGGGCTGACAGAGCGTGTCAGCATCCTTTGAAGAAGAAACCGAGGTGACGGACGAGAGGAATGAAGAGAACCTGCCAGAACTTTAACAACTTTTAGTGCACCACGAGCGTAGGATGGAGGTAGTTATGTAGCCCTCTGTATGAAAGCGTAGCTTCGTGTGTCTTTGGTGGCCAACTGCAGGCCCTCTGAACTCTGACCTCCTTCAGCCAGAGGACTGGCGATGACTTGTTTCTGAGATGCACATATTAACGTGGAAAAAGAACTGTTTGGACCCCGGCATAGACACAAAGTCGAACTGTAAAACGTCATTTTTGAAAGAATGATACGTCGGCCAATCTGTTTTAAGGAAATCCTAATTTAATTTGGCTGGTTTTGGGTAATGCAATTTGACATCTTTCTTAATGTTCGGTCACATTTACCACCAAATTTTCGTGATGCATCATATTATGGTGGCTAAGCAGTGAGGCTCGTTGTTTATTGGGAAATGCACCCCTGTATGTTGGAGCGCTGCCCATGAGGCTATCGGCTCTGACGACACATTGCTACACTATTGACAACAGACAATGGACCTTTTTTGCTTATGTGACCGCACAGTATTTTAAAACTCAACACTTGTTGGAGGACGTTGCGAGATGTGACACAATGGCCAGAGACTTTCCTCTGAATGTGTATTTTCTGACAGCGGTGCTTTGAATGCGAAGAATTATGAGTTGGTTTTTATGGTCTAAACTGTCTAAAGGTGCGGTTATGGCATGGGTGAAATCCAGTCATTTCATTAGGTATCCGAGTGATTGGGAGTTACGGATGTGGACTAAAAAGTCCCCCAAGCAGATTTCACACCTTTAAGTTGGTCACGCAATCAACGGAAAGCTGTTTGGTTTGAAAGTGACTTGTGTGTGAGCTGTGCTTCATACATCTGCGATTAACAATGGACCTTTTTGCCGAAATGTCACCCACAACTTAACCACTGAAGTGCAGCACACAGTTAGCATGATAAAAAATGAGTTAGTCAACCTCACTATTCAACTAGTCGACTATCGTGACCCATCTGTAGTTCATCATACACGACAGACTGACATCATGCTATGAAATCCCCAGGTCTGACGCTGTCTTGTCATAATGTATTAGTCATGATACGAAATGCCGAGAGAAACACCTATCTACTTAGTGGTTGGATTTTTTTTCTCTTTTTTTTCGGTTTTGCATCCTGTGACTTTTAGTTTCAGATCCACTTTTTTTTTTTTTTACATATTACTGAGAATAAACATATTACTGGTGTTTTCCAGTAGCTATCTTGTCGTCGGTTTGGCCTGCAGGTGCGGGTGACGTCCCCTTTGAGAATGGACGTTATCTTATGAGGACTGATAAGGGCTGCCATCCAGCCTTATCACAAAGACAATGAGTGCACTAAGACTACCTAGACTGTTCTCAGATCAGCAACGGGCTAGTTCAACTGATCTTCACTAGTGGAGCTTTACTGAGGGTGTATTATTACTCCTAACTGACCCTAGACCTGAGCATTAGGCTGCATGTCACTGAGAATTAGGTTTGCTTGAAACTTCTTGCTATGAAGGACTGTTTTGTACACATGTAACCTTAGAAATTATGTAGTTTGTGGAAGGGAATGTCGGAGCATTTCCAGCAGATATAATAAACATGGTGATACATAAAGCTGTTTAAATGAATCTTCTTGAATCGTGATGTTTGAGTCGTGTTGGAATTCTTTTTTATCCGCTTTTCTCGATTGATTCTCAGAAGAATCTAGCAAAAACAATGGCAGAATGATAAACATAAAAATACATGGAGAACTTGTTCAATATTGACAGCATCTGTTGACACAGAAAATAATTTCAGATTGTTCCTCAATTTATAAGAAGGAGTTCCACTTACAATGGAAAAAGGCATTCCAGGGGGTTTAAAATATTCATTCTTATACCAGTATATTAATTATTTTACACCAAAGTGCAAGTGTTTGTGCTGTAAAGCTGTCTGAATCGTCTGTTTAAAGTGCCCCCAATAATGCGGTTTAATTAAAGGTTCCTAATTTTGAATTGGAGGTCTCCAACATTAGGTTTATGCATCCAATGTAGTCAAAAAACACAAATTTTCTCCTGTCCATTGCAGCATCACCTCACCTCAGTCTGAAAAAGGTTCGTTCAAAGATTTGCATTCTTATTTATAAAACGCGTGTGCGCACATATTTGATTTTAGTGCAAGCTAAAATCCACGACAACGTTCATATGTATAAAAACGGTCTTTGACGTGGAACAGTGCTTAGCGCCACGTCAGGGTCTAAGCAGACAGTCACTTTTCCTCTCTTTTGAACCCATAAGTGAAAGCTCAAACTAATACCTGAATTAAACCTTGAAACAGAACATTATATTGTTTCAGATCTACAAAAGTTATTGCTTCCTCAAAGTTAAAAACATTAAATGGAAAGTTTCATATTTGCCAAGACGGTTTTAGAGGAACACCAAATGTATGAAGTAATTCAGAAACCGCTCTGTAGAAATCAGTCAGTTTGTGAAATGAATGAAAACGCAAACCAGGAGAAACAAGAAGCACATGAACCAAAGTAATACTGTAATAAGTAAAAACTGTGTGAAACTCCCTTAAACATGATTTACAGGAATCTTATATACGAGTCTCAATCCTTCCCATTACAGGCTCAGTTGTAGTCAATAATGGATTCAATCAAAACACCTTTTTTATCAAATATAGGTGAACTGCTTCACATTTACTAGCGCAACAAAACCTTTAAATAATTAGTTAAGAGAATACTAGGTTTATATATGTTTAACTTAATTTAACTTCCAAGAAGTCTCCGATTTCCCAGAATGCCTCAGACCGAGAAACAGTAGGTAGCTTTGATTCTGGTAAGGTTACACATGCGGAGGCGTCTGAAATCAGAAAAAAAAAGCCTAATCGCTCATAATGAAAATGATGGTTTTATTCCATTACAGACGTTACGGCAAGCGCAGAGAGCACGTAAAAAAAAAAAAAGAGTCTGTAGTTTCTGTTTTTGTAAAACAGGAAGTTGCGGGAGACGTCTGAAGCAGACTGTATACCTACAATGGAAGTTTGTCATATTCTGCTGTTCACTGCCGTGTCTGGAAAAAGCTTTTACTCATTGTGGTTCCTTCTAAAAAAAAAAACCACAAGCCCTAGCCTAACATCTTCCTGTAGACATACATGTGTGAGAGAGGTTTTCTCTCTCCTCCCCTTTCTCCCTCTCAATTCATCTCTTTTCCATCCACTCAGCGCGAAGTGCAGCGGCCGAACCTGCTCTCACAGGGTCACTTTTGATCATCTCCGGGCAGCAAGCGTTTTTGAAGTGCATGATACCCTCTTCCTGTCTGAGAAAGTCTTTTCTCCGAGGTCACGCGGGACTGCAGCTGGACTTAAGGAGGTTGTAAAGTTACACTGCTGAGATTTGGTGGAACTGGTGGAGAACAATTTATCATTCGTTGAGTTGATTTGCAGGTGAGATTCTCTCATTTTTCCGGGCTGGTTTCAATACAAGAAATTGTAATAGATAATGAGCGTGTGTGTGTATAAATGAGATCAAATCAGAGGGTGGACATGCTTGCTTGTTCCTTCCTCTGCTATAGATAGTAACTCTACCAATGCAGTTGTCAGAGACTTGATCCTAGTAACTTAAAATGTTCACAACACTCGGATGCCAGCAAGCAATAGCCGTCATTTTACCTTCTCAGTTAACTATAGACCCGACATAGTCCGGCTATGACTATGAGTAACCCACTTCTAGACAAAATAACCTTGAATTTGATAACGTCGTTTTTGCCAAAATAACCTGCGAGATGAATGATATTCCATCATGTAAGTAAGCAAACCCAACAGAGAAGATGTCAAAGAAATAAAACCAAACACCTTGTAATCTATGTTGATGACTAGTCTATTCTTGGGATATGGTTATTTATGGTTACATTTTCACTGATAGCCCAAATTTTGCCTTGTTTTAGCCTAGACGTCAAGGCTGTTTGGACGTCTTTTAAATGCAAAATTGCTTGGGGTCCCACTTGATAAAGAGATTTGAAAGTACATGTTTGTACATTCTATCATACAAAAAACAGTGTTTAATTTAATAAATTGCATTGTGGCAAAGCAAGCTAACTTGCTAGATTTGGGGAGATAATTATACCTTCAAAAAGGTTATATTGTTGACAGTTATTTTGATCTTATGATATCACTAAACTACAAGGTGTGTCTTTGAATTCAATGCTGATGTTTCTATAAATAACTGCTTTCATTTGTCACTTGCAAAATCATGCGGTACTACCGCCACCGAGCAAACGTAGTAACATAACGCTAAAACATAACTTTCATCACACTCAAATGATTTTTTGACCAAGTAAAACTTCGCTGCGTTACCCCACAATTTTTATTCTTCAGATAGTGACCTGTATGAGTAGTAAATCAGCACTTGCGGCTGTTTTATCAGAATTAAATGAAATAATGTCAATTTAAGTGATCAAACGTAACTGTAACAACATTCAAGTTTAGGGAAGAGGGAAGGAAACGTTGAACGTAACTTTTAATCGTAAAATACGCATAAACAACCAAATAAAAGGAGCAGCAGCGGCCGTCTGCGGCATATAAGCATAGTAAAAAACAGCAACCTAAAATGTCTCTCGGCACCGCCCTGCTTCATACCACAGTAACGCTAATAAAACTTTAATAATTAGCTCATCCAATCCATGAACACCATTTCTGCCCGAGTACCGTCAGATTGCTTTTCATTGGCCGGTGAGGTGAAGACGACACCTCGCATGATTCCACACTTATTCACGGCGTCGTCAAGCTACGCCTTTGTTATTGTTGAATAAGCGACCTATAGCGACAAAACTTACATACTGTGCCTTTAACAGAAGTTATAACTGAAATGACAAAAACATTGACATGATGTAAGGGGAAGACACTGTCTGGAGGCACAGTTAGTTTTTTTACCTGCACTTACATCATTTTCCTGCAGATTCAGTGTGTGTTTGCCTCAGGATGGGAGTTGTTTAGGGAGCGATTATGCCATTCAGAGGAGATGACAGGAGCTCCAGCCCACCACTCTTCTTTCCAGACCTCCAGCCTGAATCTCAACAGCTCTCAGGGGCGCTCATTAAACCTGTAATTACCATAGCAAAACAAGAATAAAGCCGTGTAAACACATTATGTAAGCTAAGGGAAAAGGAAGTGGACAGGAACTCTCCATTAAAGTAGATTATGTGTTTATCAATACTGTACAGTAACTGCTGACTGAAGAATCCAGAGTTGACCCTTCCTTCCTTTCTGGACAAAAGATTTTGAGCTAACATTTTGAGAGCGAAACAGTTGTTAGAACATCCTTAACAGATATTTTTTTTTAAATTCACTAATGCTAACGTTGTTATTTAATAATAACAACCTGCCAGGGACTCCAGATGAAAATGAGTCTGTACGGCTAAATCTGGCTCATTTGGACATTGTCCTTATGTTCATTAATGTGCATTGTCCCTTATTAAATAAATAAACAAACCAACGTTGGAGCATTACTTTTACTCTCATGGACTTTTGCTTTATTAAACACGCAATTTTATAGTAAAAACATGCCCTGAAACAGCTGTTCCTTTAAGGGAACACTAAATGTGAACTGTTTTTAATATTTTTCAGCAGCTGTGTGAAGTGCACTTGATTGTATTGAATCTGCACTTGTAGTGTACTTCAAATATTAAAAGTATATTTAAAAAAAACTGCAGATAATATTGATGAAATAAAAGTCCACTTACAGTAAGTGCACTTTGATATAATGAAAAGTTTTACTTTAAAGTACATTTTAAAATGTTTTAATTAACTTTTGTAGCTCTTATTGACTAAATATAAAGCACTAAATAGTTTTGACGGTAGTGTGTTATTTGATTAAATAAAGTTATATGATTATGATTGAATAAAGTTAAATAACATGAAATTAAGTGTGCCAAAAATGATTCGATTTGCACTAAGTATATTCTTTTAAAGTATATTATTTCTGTAATAAATACTCTTAAAAATGCTTAAATGTAATTCTTTTCCACAAGGGACTGGAGTCAGTAAGAACACAATCAAACCATGTGATTCATTACTCACTTTATCTGTTATGGGATTTTCATGTCAAACATTCTGAGCTTGGAAGATTGTAGCTACAGTAAAGCTGTGATTTTCCTCGCTGAACTTTATGGTACAGTCCCTTTTGTGGTTTGAATCATATGATTTTGGTAAAGTTCATTTATTGGCCTGTGTCCATATTTGTAATCTCTGGTGTGAAACTTTCATGAGGGAAAACCGAAAACATCGTCATGTTTGACGTTTTTGTAAAATGTTTGACGTCAGTGATCCAGAACATATGTTGGGGTGGGGTTCGGTGGTTGTTGTCCTTTAATATTTCTTAAGTTTTAAAGCTAATTCTACATTTCAACAACAGTAGCATTAAATAATATCCAGTCTAATGAGCAGTTTCTGTTCGGCGACGCGTGATCTTAACTTCAACCACAACCTCGTGTAATCTCTAAAGGGAACAACACCACATTGCCCACTTTGTCGGTGATGTAAATCAGACAGAAAAAAGTAAGAAAAAAAACCTTGTCATATTTTCAGCAAAACAGCCCCAACATATTGTGAAATGACAATATAATTTGCACTTCACAGCAAATGAATCGCAGCACATCTTGTTCATCGCTCACAACCTTCAGGACTAGCTACTCAGTATCGTCACTCGCAGCAGAGCTGAGGCTGTGTCTGATGCAGCTTTCAATTTTTAATGTATTGTATATGGGGGACTGTTGTGTATTTGCTGGTTCAATCGAATTCTACCTCTAAAAGTCTTCTTTGAAGCTTTGAGAGTGTGTGCTCAGGTTACCAGCTATTGATTTTTCCTCTGTTTTGCTCGGGTAGGGTTAAGTGCACACGTTGCTTAAAACCCGTCGGTCAGTTAGACCTGAATTGAATTTAAGTGTGACGCACTGCTGGTAGGACAATCTCTATAGCAGCTAATGCTGTTAGTACGCCTGTGTTTGATATTGGCAACAGATTTAGGAGGCCATTAAGATCTCAAGGTCTCTTACCCGAAGCAGATCGAGGTCTCTGAATGCACTCTTTGGAACTTAAATGTTTTCAACGTCTTTGTTTGCAGCCAAATATCAAGCTACTCTTTCTTATCTTTAAAAAACAAAAAAAAGCTTTACTTGCAGATAATATAATATAGGCTAAATTAAATGAATGCCACTTAAGTGTACTTAAAGACACTTATGACCCTTTTATGACTGTCAGTATGCAGTTTTGTTATGTTTTGTTTTAAAGTGCATTTTAAATCATTATGTTTTATTCATATTTTGTAGTGCTTTAAAACATATTTTGTTGTGTTGACTAGCACACTAAAGCACATTAGTATGTGTTATTTCATATTTCTATTTAAGTTAATATATTTCAAATGTACTGAATAGCTAAATGTACTTCGTATGTACACTGTGCGTGTGCTTCAGTCAAGTCAAGTCGTTTAAGTCAGTCCTGTTTCCCCCCTCGGGGTAGTTTTTGTTGTCTGTTTTGTTTTATTTTATTATTATTAAAAACCCATCAACTCTGCACATGAGTCCTCGCTCCTTTCACCACCCCCACACCTGACATATAAAGAATACATTTTAAATGACAGTAGGCCTACAAGTGGATATGGGTTCAGAACCCAGGATGTGTATTAACAATATTTATACAGTAGTCAACATTTGAAGTGGATCAAAACCTTTCATTAAACTTACACATGAATTTTGAACAATACCCGTGCTTTTCTCAGGACAACTTTGACGAACTTTTTTGATCCACTTCAAATGTTGACTACTGTCTCAGGTATAGGTTGGAATTTGAACCGTTGTCCCCCCTTTTTCTTGGAAATAACATTGATGCCACACAAGGAAGGGGATTTCACTAAACACACAGACAGGCATATGCTGTTGCTTTAGGTGAAATCACTGACGGTTTCAGACATGGGCTTTTTTTGTGATAAATTGCAGAAGACATTTGGGGAACAAATAAAACTCCCTATTACCTTAAATTATTTGGATACCTGTATATGATTCTTGATTTTAGACATCACATTTATGTTCTTAGCACATGCCTACTCACATTACACACATTACAATTACTAGCACAGGCCATTGAAAGTATAGTTGCTTTCCTGTGCAGAAACTGCCCCCATGATGAGTGGTTGTTTGCTCTGTGGGCCATGTCAAATGAGCCCACCTCATTTTCCCCCCACTGTCTTGTTTTGGTTTGACATTTAGATTAGCATGACCTCTCCCCAACAAAGGAGTTTCCTTAAATATAAGACAGCTCAAATATGCATTTTAGTCTGGGACTATAGGCTTAAGCCTTGTCTGTGAAATCGGGCAGTAGCGAACAGTGAATCTGGTGTTTCAAACAGTTCGCTTGATTTGATGTTTTATGTCTGAAGCTGAAATGAAACGAGA